TGCAAATTTACATGGAAACAGTGTAGCTTTGGTGTGAAATAAAGTACAAGCTTTTGTGCAATATGTTTATTTGTATATGCATATGAAGCATATTAACTGATGAAAACATAAACTGTTTTTAAATTGGATGTTTACATCAATCTCATAATAGTCTTATTTTAATTTTGAGTCATTTTGCAATTTTTATGCAGCTAAATAGCACATAAATTACGTAATTCACGTAGATATATCAATATTACGCTCAACATTTCGTTTAAAATGCCAGATTTCCTGCAAATACATTAGAATTTACAAAAGGAATTTCACTACTAATTGCCTACTCTGCGTACTTTTCTAGTATCATTTTCGCACCAAGAGATTTCATTCTTCCCCTTTCTCCGTCCTTCGTAAATGCAACCTTTTGTAAGGGAGTGTCAAACCGCAGCTGTCAATAATTATCTAACCTTGTATTATTGAATCATGTGTGCAACGTAGCTTTAGTTCCATGAAAGGAGTTGCCACATGTTAGAAAATCGAATTCAAAATTTCTCTGCCGCAGAGGGTTGCGTAAAATATTTAACATCAAGTCATAAAATCTGTATCGTTCGTACGATATTCAAAAATGAGGTGTCACATGAAAGGGCTTGACCTGCAGATGTGCAGTATGGTTTTAGTCTTTTAAAGGGTTGCCATATATACGAAAATCAAATTCAAATAATTTATTAAGTTAAACGAATTATCCCAATATGAGTATCAAAAGAAATGGTTTTGAATAAGTTGTATTTTCTAGCTAAATGTAGGAGGGTTGCCACATGTTTCAAAAGTAAAATTTAGTTAAATTATACAAAAGTCTTACGCTTAAAATACTATACAGTACAGAAAGAGCTTACAGAAACACAATTAAAATATTTTGAGGTGCCTGAAGACGGTGGCCACCTGTTTAGAAAGTTAAACTCAAATTATTGACGCAAATCTTATTATTATAGCTCCGTTATGTTTGCGATAAATATTTAACGCCACGGTACAGGTAGCATATGACGGGTATAGAAAACGAATAGCTGCGTTAAACGCCAATTGGGCGGGAAAAGACTAATGCAAAGACAAGAATATAATCAAAAACAAATATAAAGATAAGATGAAGATGAAGATGAAGATGAAGATGAA